GCCATGAATATATCACGACACTTTACTATTAACGATAAACACAAAATATAAAATTAAAATAAAATAAATTTTGTTTTTTGTTTTAAATTATATCAAAGAGGGATAACTAATGTTTTATATAATGTGCACATATTTTATACCATCTGACAACAAAAAAAAAAATTGTATGGTGTTAATTATTATTAAATTTGTTTTAGTATTGAAATATACAAATTGATTAAAGTAAAATCTTAGAAGTAATTTTTAATAATATGTATGAAAGTTTATTTTTGACAAACATTTGAAATTGATTTCTGTTATTTGAAGGTCAATACTTTTCAAGCAATATTTTTTCAATTAATATTCAAGCTTCAATTAATTATAAAATAAACAGTATTGTTAGGAACAATTTTTGATATTATGGAATTCAGTCATTTTAATATCTAAGACTTTTTTGTTATAAATTATTTACTTCTGTTTTGAAAATGAAAACTATAATTTTATTTGATCATTTTTTTTTAAATTATCTACTGTACAAAATATTTTATGTGTCTAGAGTTATAAATAGTTCAATTTTATAACGTAAAATTTTCTGAAAATATATTTAAACTAACATTATAATGAATCATCATCTCAAAAAAAATTAGATAATATTTCTATTGAATTATTAGATATACTGAATCATATTTACTCATTTAATCACAATTATTTTTATAATATTATTAATCACGCAATAAGCAATATAATATTAATTAGGCTATTTAAAACTAAAAATTAGTATCATAATATTTAATAGCCTGAAAAATATTATACTTTAGAACGTTTTAAACAATTCATTTTTTTTTTAGTAAAACAAAATATTTAAACATAAATGAATTTTACTACCCCATTGAGATTTTTCAAACATATTTTTAGTTTCGATACGAAGTTGAGAAGGTATTTTTTAATCAATTTAGTTTTCCATTCTGATTAAAAATATATGAATAAATTTTGTCGACAAAGTATAATTTATAAGTTATGACACTCAAAGTTTTCTACTTTCATGCTTGATTTTTGTTATGTTTGTTATAAAATTCCAATAGTTTACTTTAATTCACTTATAAAAAAAAATTGTATGATGTAGATACCGATTTTTATTAAATAAAAAAAAATTACTTAAATTAATGTTACTTTATTAAGTATTTTTACTTTGTACCACACATTTCAAATCTGGTGGCAAAATATTAATTAATCATTTTATATATGTAGTATATTCGGAATTTATTATCTTATAGTCTTACTGTTTATTAAACAGTATATATTAATACAAACAATAAACAATAAATTACACAAGCTAATTAATAATTTTAAAAATGAATGTTAAACCGAATAACATTGAATATATTATTAATAATTAGGGATCGGCAGTTATTGCACTAAAAAACGTAGAAAATTGATTGCATTATTGCAGAAAAAAAATACCCAAAATAGCACTTAAAAATTGCGCTTAAAATTTTTTTTGATTAATAGTTTTTAGCTTTAACATTTTACTTTTAAGAATTACAAATTTTGTAGTATGAAATAGCCTTATTTATTTAAATAACAATAGATACAGTTAAAAATAAAATGTAACAAACAATGAATCAAACAGGTTTCGTTCGGTATTTTAGGAATCTGCAAGAAATTTTATAAAATTGAAAAACAATTAATTTTATTATTTAATAAAAATTTGGGTACCTTAAAAATGATTGCACTGTACGATAAAGGATTTCTTCAGGTTCTCAAATTTGAAAGATCTCCTATTTGAAGACAATTAGTTCTTATATATATAAAAAGTACGCTTCACGTCGACAGAGATTATGGGGGCATATTTAAAATATATAGTATCTTAAATGGATAAATCTTCTGGCAATTTTTTTGCCAGATAATATGTTTGATACTTCTTGTAAAACTTATAATCTCTTATTTTTGACAAGAACATTTTTAAATTTCTCATTAATTAACTTGCCTATTATTCCTGACACTGAACTTAATTTGTCACAAACTTTTTTAACAATTTTAATGCTTGTCGCCAAAGGAAGTCCTTGAGTTTCTAATTTATCTATGGTGTCAGGTAAATATCAATAGTTTGCGCGAATAAAAACTAAATCTGTTTCCAACGATGGATCATCTAATATTTTTTGAGTTTCTTTTATTGAAATTACGTCATCTGGATTAAGCTGTAATATGATATTTTTTATTTCTTCAAAATATTCACAGTAATATGAGACTGATTTTACCCATGTACCCCAACGAGTTATAATAGGCTGGGGATTTAATGGTATTGTCGGAGCTTTATTTTTGAAAAATAATACACGAGCTGGACACTTTAAAAATATTTATTTTACCTTGGCAATCAATTTGTCAACATTTGAAAATCGTTCTCTTATTTCCTCAGCAACTCTATGTACACCACAGGGCTGGATTTAGGGGAGGGCTAAGTGGGCTGCAGCCCAGGGGCCCCCACAAATTTCGTATACATTGGTATCACAAATATAATAATAATTGTTATTTAATAAGTAAAAAAATATATTTCCTTGTTTATGTATAAGGGACCCCCACAATGCATTCTGCCCAGGGGCCACCACATACCTAAGTCCGCCTCTGGTACACCATTTGCTACGCACGTTATATGCACCATCTTAGAATAGAGCACTCCAATTGATTTTCCTGCCTAGATCATGTACGGCGCTGCATCACTGACGAAGAGCAATACGTCATCATGGCGTATACCATCAGGCCAAAGAAGAAACATCGATCGGTCAAAGACTTTAGTGATGGTCGAATGATTTGTTTTGTCGAGCACCTCCGAATTTAATAGGTAAACTTGCCCCGGTTTGCCTACTTCTAATGTTCCAATAATAATATTAGCAATATATCTACCTTGAACATCGGTAGTTTCATCCACCAAAACCCAAATTTTGTGTCCGGCAATATTAGATCTATTTTTGTTCATAGTTTCTACGTAAATATCATTTACGTAACTTTTTCGTTAAGTGCTTTCGTCAGGAAATTATTTTTATGTATATTTTTCCAAAAACAAGCGGAAATCCTTGTTGTTAATTTTGTTTAGAGGAATATTTGCAGATAATAATGTTTGACAAAGATCTTTGGAAAGTGTAGATTTTTTTGAAGATAATGTAAGTTGTTGCTGTACTACAGAGGTTGTAGCGTTTTGATGGCGATTTATGGCGCAGCTGTGTTAATCAGTTTTTAAATGTTGTGTGACTATGTATATTCGATCTGCAGATACTCGAATTTCACATAACTTACAAAAAAGAGCTGACCCATCACTCGAAAATACATTTTTCCCGAACTCATTGACGTATTTCAATAGTACACTAGACACTGATTGCTTATTTATCGCCATTTTTGACTTTAATACGAAATAATAAGACTCAAACGTAAACATCGAAGAAACACGAGACGACACTTAACGACTGAGCACTGAGAAGTGAAGACTTAACTAAAATTCTATAATAAACTTAAAACTACAGTAGTACAATCTACAAATCTCGATGTACCGTCGTTCGTCATATTTACCCCAATATTGTCTTATCGCATTTCCGGTCGGCCACGGTGGTCAACGGAAATCCCGAAATAACAATCAATACACGCACTTGAATATTTTAACATACCTCTTACCTTTAAAAAAAAATTAAATTATATTTAACACAATTTATAAGTATATAAAATGTACAATATATGAGAAAAATCAACAAAATTGCAATTAAATAGAAAAAATTGCAATAAAATTGAAAAAATGGCAAAAATTGCAAAAAGTTGCACTAAAAACTTTTAGATATAAATTCGTACTCGCATGAGGTGAATTTAAAACCTACTTATCAACAAATCCTAGCAATAAAAAAAAAAATTGCAAATGCAACAACATTTGAGCCCTAGTAATAATGTATATATTAATCGAATAACAGAACGCAGCGATGCTAAGAGACTATAAACAATAAAATAAAGATGACATCCTCTCGAGGACAGATAATTATGTATAATTTTATTTTTAATATATACAAGCGTAAACAAAGATATTATCAAAGTAAATTTATTCTTTTTGGGTATTGATTTTCATAAATAACACTATTGAATGATATAAGTGTTTAAAATGAGTACGATTCGTTATTTTGTCAACGATATAATTAAAATCTATACAAACAAAGGATATTGTACTTAATCAGTTTAAATCAAGTAAAATATTTATACATAAATATATAAATTATTACTGATTTTGATTTTTAATATAATAAAAATAATCAATGCTAAACATCATTTTTAATTAATTTTTTTGTCCTTTATAGTAGACTTTTTGAAAGTTTAAAATAAAAAGTTTAATTTGTTATCATCAGTGGCGTATTTTGAATGATTTCTCGGGTGGTGTCCAACTTTTAATGAACCTCACAAACGAAAATTATAGAAATGTTAAATTTTGGTACTGCTGTATCTTAAAAGAAACAACCCTAATGTCTTAACTTAAAGTAATAAAAGTTTAATAATAACTCAAATGTATTTATTATAGATATAATTAAACAATGCAAAACATACAAAATAAATATACACTAAAAACACAATAAAACAATACACAAAATGAAAACTTAATGTCATAAACGTACCGCGAGAAAAGAGATTACCTTCGGTGCTCCTGAGGTCCTCTCTCCACTATGATTCATTCCATTTCGTCTTATATACTAAAATATTTTGTTTTTCTCCTTTTTGCAAAATTAATAATATTATCGTTTTCAAAAATTTTTATAAATATTTAATTCCTGGTCTAGTAATAATAGATCAGGAAATTACAATTAAACAAAACATTACAAAAATGTTTTACTTCCAGCTTTACAAATGATAAACTATATTACAGTAAACAGACTGATTTTTTTATCATAACCCACTCATTTACTTGTAGAATAAATATAATTTAAACATTATTTTTGGTTTTCTTTAGTTACACATTATTCTTAAATTATTAACTATTTAAAACTTTTTATGTTCATCCCTTATGCCTTGTAAGGGTGTCAACTTTGTCTTTTTGTCTTTTAAATGGGAACACATATTTTGAATATAATAAAATGTTTGGATTTTTAATTAAATAGTAAATGGCATTTGAATTTTTAATATAACTTTATTAGTTTATTAGATATAAACATTTAAAGTTTCAAATTTTTGAGTTAATATACATGTATAATACACATGATGATATGATTACAAATACAGGTAGCTAAATGGTTTATATGATATCAATGTCGCAGTCACGGATTGTTTATTATCAATTATGACTATCATAGATATACTTTCTGTATTGTCAGTTAGTGTATTTATAAACTCACAACAATGTGCCTTACTACCATTGATAATAACAATGCTGTGTACCTGCTAATTTCTTTGAAGTTGTTTTAAACAAAGTAACTCATAACTAAATACTTTATTTATAATAAGTAAACAAATAATAAAATCTCCTTTCAGTATTGATGTTCGTAAATTACTTGCTTTTGATGATGTTTCAGTGTCATTCCACTTCGAAATTATAAATAACGATTCAATTAGGTACACAAAAAGCTCAAGAAAATCATTGACAGCATAAAAACGTTCAACTTATTTTGTCGCGCATAATTGTTTTAATGATTTTTTAGTTATACATTTTTGACTTTCTTCGATTTGACTTTTCAACACATCTTTTCGCTTTGGGTATATGAAAAAATCTCTAACTTTAGATGTTGTTCCTAATCAATTTCGTGTTTCTTGTATAGAAGATGAATAAGAAATAGCAAGGTTTAAAACATGAACAGCACAATGAACAAACGTCGCAAGCGGATAACTTTGGTGAATAAGAGATTGAGCTCCGTTAAATTGACCAGACATAGAAGCACATCCATCGTAACACTGTCCTCTAAGGTATTTTGTTTCTACACCAAATGAATGTAAACTTTGAATAATAATATATAAACCTTTTCCAGTAGTATCTGTTGTAGGCACAAACTGAAAAATTCTTCCTTGATAATCATATTTTCAACATCTAAATATCGAACACACAAAGTTACTTGTTCGCTTCCACCAATGTCGGCCGTTTCATCAGCAAGTATTTTGAAACATCTTTGGGCATTTATGTTTGTTACGATTTTATTTAAAATAATTTTATTACAGGATTCAATTATTTCATTTTGAAGTGTTTCACTTGTATATTTTATTGTTTCTTCAGCTTCCAAAAATGATTTTAAACGGTCATCTCCTTGGGCTCTGTATCTTAATATTTCTCTAAAATTTCCTTGATTTTCTTGGATAATTTGTCATTTTCTTGATATATATTGAAGTTACAAAGATAGCCGTTATTGTCAAAAAAAAAAAAAAAATAATAATAATAACATTAAAAATGCAAATAATAATTAAACCTATAAGGTAGTTAAACCCTAAAGTTATTTTCGATTTGTTAAAGTCGTTAAAATTAATTCAAATCTCCTGTTATTTTCTTTTATCAGAATTATTATGTCATTAATTCAATTATTAATTAAATTGTTAAACTATATTATATATTCAACTTAATAAATTTTTATGTTGATTATAATCGCATGGCATGATGTTTTTTGTTAATAACTAAATGGAAATAGCAATTTCACATGGGCAAAATTTTTAATAGTTGCAAGAGAATAAATCCAAACGTTGATATTTTATTTCATACAGATTAAATTTTATATGCATAAATATTCTGTTAACCGATATCAAATTTATTCCACTTGAACTTTCATAAAAAAATCTCTATCATTTGTAAACTAATGTAATAAATAAACAAACAAATACAAAAGGTTTTTCTTCAAAATATCTTTAAAATATATATATATATATATTTTTTTTTTTTTTGATAATTCTCTGTATTATTCTTAAAATATTGTATTCTTTGACCAATAATACAATTAAAATAAATAAGTATTGTTTATACTAAATTTATTTATAATTGGCTTATACATTTTTTTAATGAATTTTTACAATTAAGTTTCCTTGACAATTAGATGTAAATGTTGATTTTATCGACATTTCAGTTCACTTCGTTTTTTCCCGTGAAAAATAAACTATCGTCTTGTGTAATTATTAAGATTTATTTAATTAGTTATTGATATGGCAAGTGAAAAAAATATTTTTGGTCAAACAAATGAATCAAACTTACATAAGGTCATACGCAGAGTTGAAGAAATATGGAATCGTCGTTTCATGCATTCCAATTGTGTTTTAAATAATACAAATAAAGGACAAATATCAAAAAAGTCAACTAAAGATGGAAGAATTATCTGTAAACACTATTAAGATTAATAATTAAACTAACTATTTCGAATAGAGAAAAAGTTTTTTAATATAAAATATAAGAAAAATTAATAATAAGTTCTCTTATTCATATATAACAATAATTCAGTCGCTTTACTTTAATTTAACTATTTTAATATTAAAAACCTTTTTCGAAATTGATTATTTAATTAATAATTATTAAAATTATATTCAATTTGCAGCAATTATTAATAAAAATATTTATCCTATAAAAAATTCCATTATTCCAAAAAAACGCACGTATCGAAAAACGTATAAAAATGATAAAATTATTCCAGAAAAATTGGTAACTATAATTATATAAATATATTTATTCGATTTAGCTATGTTATTGGGGTTTGTCTGATTCAAAAATATAAAATAAACTATCAGCCCCTTTAATATAAATGCGGTAACATAATGTTTAATATTATTCTGCTATTTTTTTTATTAGACTTTTATGGGAAATTCAATTTTTATCGAAGATAATAATATAATATTAAGCAGTGTTGGGAAAGTTCCTTTTTAAATGGAACTCGTTCCGTTCCCCGTTCATTTTCTAAAATATGAACTCGTTCCAGATCCTAGTTCTTTATATTAAGAAGGAACTTGTTCCAGATCCAGTTCCTCCAAAATAAGAACTCGTTCCACTCTTTGTTCCTTTTATGTAACCAAGTTATTTAAAAAATTGT